CACATTCAATAATACAGGACACAGTCTTATTTGGTAAAATTAAATAACAGCATCATTTAAAAACACAAAAGTTTCTACCACATAAATTCCCTAAACTATGGTATATATTGTGTAGCAAAAGTGACAGTACAAAGCAGTAATAAATGAAGTTTTGTCTCACTTTAAAATCAGTGTGCTTAACAACAGGTACAATACAGGCAAGATCACCTTCATTGAATGGAGCAGTCAAGGAAAATTTGTAATCCTTCAATGTAATCTGTACTCCTGATAAGGGGTGCAGTCAATGAATATTAATGAGGTATGATGCCATCTAACCTGTTTTGTTACAGAATTCCCTGAGAAGAGAGACTTTGCTAACACCACAAGTAGTACACATGTGAGTTACAGAATTACTAGAGAAAGAGATAGACATTTAAGTACATGTACATCATTAATGTTCATTCATGTAAATTTGATGACAAGGTGTCAAGTCTGCCCACAAAAAAGGACTTGAGATCCTTGACGGTACCTACAAATGGTGTAAAATTAGATCAATAATGATTGAAATTAATCTTAAAAATGGTTAAATGAAGTGACAAAAGGCCAAAACGCCATATTAGGTTCTGATATAGCTCCACCCACCTCCTCTGCTCCATTTAGAATGATATCTGGTTCCTGCTGCTTATCTGATGAGAATATGATCCAAGCAGATCAATTCACACTCACTCCTTTATTACAGTCACCTGCAACTTTCCCTCCATTTTTAGTACACATTCTATTAGTATCACCATCATTGGTATCATCATTATCAGTAGTGGTGGTGTTGGTTGATTCTAATGCCAGTATCAATGTCAGTAGTGTTTCCAGTGCTAATAATGTTGGTTGATGATATCGTGTGATAAGAGCTGGGGAATGCTTGCTGTATAGAGACAAAAGCAGTTCATCAAACTTAATATGGAACATAAGTACATGTATATGTATCAGAAAAAATTATAAAAATGGAGAATTCTCATCTTTTCATTTTTGGCAAAATTTGGCCAAAATCACTGTACAATTATAGTACAAGTACTTTAGTCAGATATTGGAGAAACTTTAAAAATTCATTATAAATCCAATCTTGATTGGAATTAACTCAAACTTTCTACACAACATAAGAACATGTACAATGCATATGCATCAGAAAATAATTAGTAAATAAACAACTTTTTCCTAATAAATTTTAGCAAAATACCCCGTACTATAGTACAGGGTAATTGGCTAAGCTTAATAACAGCTGATGGCTGACATACCTTAGCAAGTAGCTTGCTCAGTCTCTCGCACACATTAGTACAGTAGGTACTGCAATCATAATTAACATATAACTCTGATACAAAATTATGAATGTGACAAAACTAAAGAAAAGAGAGACAAAAATTTATTAAACTTTGACGAATCTCGTGTACATAAATGTACTCTTTCTTACTTGAATTGAGACATTCTAATGTTAGCTCTTGTCTGCCTGCTTGAAGTCTTGACTGATCTAATTGTATTGTGTGCATTAGCTTATTAAGGAACCACTGCGAGAGAGAGAGGGAGAGGGAGAGGGAGAGAGTGAGAGAAAGAGAGAAGTATTTAATGATCCACCTACATGTATGTGTTTCTTTCTTCACCTCCAGCTGTAGTTTGAGATGATGACAATTTGAATCAAAAAGAAGAAAGCACTTTGTCAAAGAGCGACCAAAAACATCAGCAGATTCGTTCTGAAGCAACTAACAAATTATAATTTAACACAAACTGAAATACGTACTTCGTAAAGTTGCTCATTTACAGTAAGTAAGTGATGGCAGAGTCCGTCT